CCCCAAAACCCCAAAACCCCAAATTTAATGTTGAAAATGAAGTTTTGTTGTTAAATCTTTTTATTTCAGAATCTCTATTATTTTAAATTAATATACGAATTCCAGATTAAATGAAATAAAATTCTTAGACTCCTTCTCCAGCAAGTTCAATCGATTATTTATTTGTTGGTCTAGTTAATCCAAATGACTTTACCCACTACGCTATTTCACTAAGAGATCTCAATTAGATAATAAATTTAACCCTAGATATGTTCTCATTTTATGTTTTAATCGAGGAGCATCTTTGTAACAAGTTCAATTATGACAAGGTACAGGATGCAAATTCTGAAATACTAATAAAGCATGTGCTTGATTATTTGGATAGTGTTGACATTTATGCCTGAGCTCCGAACTACTCAAATGGTAGATCTACCTACCTTAATTTACAAATTATGAAGGTTAGTATAGCTCTATTTAAGAAAAGAATATTGCCATTATAAGATATAAGAAATGGTTTGTTAGCTTTTTAATTGACTGCAAAGGAATAGGCTCTTGAATACTTGCCATTGTAAATTGATGTTCTAAATAAAGCAATGAGATTGATGAATAAAGTGATGAGTCCCCGATAAATTTAGATATGGATTGAGAAGTGTTGGACTTTTATAGAATCAGCATAGATTGAAATGTCAAAACATAATAAAGATTACTCTAATCTCTACCTATTTCCTCATGAATTCCTAAGTCTAATCTGCAATTCTTAAAATAGAATTGAAAATATTGAACGAGTTTTCAAACCAGATATGTAGCTTAATAAAGTTCAATATTAAAATTATGAGAGATTTATCAATATGAATAACTTGCCTAAAAAGCATACAATCTATCACCTTGAGGAAGTCTAGTTTTAAGACAACAGACCTTAATCTTTAGTTCTTAAGACACTGGATAACGATCTCAAGGATAAAGTATTTAGATATGAGGGCTAAGTAAATAAAGAAGGGAACTAGCATACCTTTGGCGTACATTAATTCTAGAAGTCTGACCTAAAGGAATCGCTTATTAAAGCAAATAGAAGTATTTATGAAATCTAGCTCAGGAAGTAGGAACTAATTGATACAATTGAGTAAGAAAAAACAAAAAAAATGCTAAAGTAATAGAATTTGAAGCAATCTCTACTTCTTGAACAGTCAGAGAATTACAAAATATTTTAAAGGTAAGAGACCCCAAAACCTCTAACATAGGAGGAAATAAAAAAATAAAAAGAGGAGGAAGATGATAAAAAATTAAGAGATTAATATGGTCTACTTTCCTAAGCCTAAAGAATTATGATTAAGCTTTTGTAAAGAAAGGATATTGGAAAAGTTATCAAGTCTCCTTAAAAGTAAGTCAAGAAGGTTGAGGTTTACTATAAGGAGCCTGAGAAAGATTGTCAGATATGTGAAATGACAAGTAATATGTAGAATAATAATGAACTTAGGTAATCAAAGAGAAATTTGAAAGAATTCTTCCAAAGACCTTAAAGTATATAGAAAAGGAATTTGATTGAAGAACTTGACCAATAGAATACACTCAGATTGAAGCTTAAGACTATCAAGCCAGCTTCCTCAGTATAATCCTTTTAGAGTACACTTAGTACATAAGAATTCACTAATAAAGCATAAAGTAAAAAAAAGAGCGAGAAAAGCTTGTTTGCTGTAGATAGACGGCTTATGACAGAGGCACAGACTGAAAGAATAAACACCTCTTTTACTAGAGAATCTAACTTAACAAACACATAATCTGCTTAAAAAATTGGAGTCCATCCATTTTCTCGAACTGTACTTCAACCATACAAATAGATCAAGATTATCAATAAAGACCTACTTAAGAAATAAAATATAACCTCATCTTAACACAATTAGAGCATAATAAAGTCTGCTGGTGATCTTAATTAGCATCAAAACTTCACCTTTATGGGAAGAAATAATAAATTCATAGAGAAGAGGAATTCTTATAGTCACAATTAAACTTATAGAAAGAAATTTCCATTTGATAAAAAGGTCTCATTTTCAGGACCCTCGATAGTTAAAATAGTATGATATTTTTTACATTGCTAAATAATATATTTATTTCATTAAGAATCATTGTTTTTAAATCAGAATGAACTCTCTATAAATATATTTGGGGTTTTGGGGTTTTGGGGTTTTGGGG